AAATCACCAAAACATATCATAATCTAACTTTTTAAAACCAAAGACAAGGAAAGAATCCTGAGAGTAGCTCCAAAAAACATAAAGTTACCTACAGAGGAGAACCAATAAGATTAAGCTCTGAATTCTCTGCAGAAAAAAATGCAAGCAAGAGGCAATGGCATGACATATACAAAACTACTAAAGAAAAATTTGCCAGCCAAGAATCATACACCTAGTGAAGCTATCCCTCAAATACAATGGTATCCCTCAAATACAATCAGGACATTTCCAGATAAACAGAAATTTAAGGGATTTGTAATAACCAGACCAACATTACAAAAATAAAATATAATAAATACTGAAGGTTGTTCTTTGGACTGAGAACCAACAACAGCAGACAATAACCTGAGACTAGCATACATTACAACACCACTCAGAACTCAATCCAAATACAGAAGAATTTACAGTTAAAACAAATCTACATGACTGAAATAGGGAATTATTTATTAATTTATAATGAAGACAACAACAAAACATAAAAAGGGGATAGTATAGAGACAGAACTTCTAAAAGACAAGGAAGTCAAGTAGACTTCAAGATAAACAGGCTGTTTTAAAACTAGGGGGTAATTAATAAATTACAGGGTAAGGTCAAAGAAAATTAAAACATCTTCACATCAAAATAAAAAAGAGGAAAATCAGAAAGGCTTAGTAAGCATTAACACAACAGAAATGAAAATGAAAAGAAAATTATGTGGAACAAATAAACCAGTGGCACCACACTTAAACACACACACACACACAAAAAAAACAAACACAGCAAAATGACAGCAATCAATTCATACCTACTGATAATTACACGAAATGTAACTGGATTAAATGCACTAGTCAGGAGTAACACAACAGAGACGAAAACGAAAAGAAAATTATGTGGAACAAAGAAACCAGTGGCACCACACATAAAAAAAATAAAAAAAATAAAAAAAAAACCACACACAGCAAAATGACAGCAATCACTTCATACTTATTGATAATTACACTAAATGTAAATGGATTAAATGCACTAGTCAAGAGACAAGAGTAGCAGAATAGAAGAGAAAATTGTTGTTGCTGCTGTTAAATGTGTCCAGTTGGTTCTGACTCATGGAGACGCAGTATAAGGTTTCCAAGGAGCAACTGGTGAGTCTGAACTGCCAAACTTGCAGTTCAAACTGACCTTGCAATCCAGCCCATTAACCCACAGCACCACATCAGGACTCCAGATATGCAAACAGGACCCTTCAATATGATTACTACAGGAGACACATCAAAAAGATGATAGTCTAAATTCCTATCAACAGAGAAATGGTTGAACAAACTCTGATACACACACACACAATGGAATACTATGCAGCTTCCAAGAATAATGATGAATCTGCAAAACCTCTCACAACATGGATGAATCTGGAGGACATTATGCTGAGTAAAATTAGTCAATCACAAAAGGGCAAATATTATATGAAACTACCGTTTTAAAAGTTAAGAAAGGGATTTTTGATAAAAGAAATATTCTATGATGGCTATGGGGGTGGAAAATTACTACTGGGCTAGAGACTAGATGCATGTTAATATGGGTAATAGAGCAGACAGTACAGAACAAGAGGGAGGTTGGTAGAGAAAGGATGAAGGTAGCACGAGACACAGGGAGGAATGCAAGAGTTAAAATGAAAGGTTGTTGTTGTTGTTGTTGTTATGTGCCATTGAGTCGGTTCCGACCCATAGCGACCCTGTATAGGGTTTCCGAGGGTGTAAATCTTTACGGGAGTAGAAAGCCTGATCTTTCTCCCACGGAGCAGCTGGTAGTTTCGAACCGATGACCTTAAGGTTCGCAGCCCGATTCATAACCACTACGCTACCAGAGCTCCCTAAAATGAAAGGTAACTACTGTTAATTGATGGTACATGGAGGAGATTGCCATGACTGTAGTGAAGCAAAGGATATAAATTTATTGAATGTAAAACTAATAATCTGCTCTGTAAACCTTCACTCAGTTCATAACAAAAAAAATTTTTATAAAAAGAAATTGAATAACCAGCATTTCGTTTCTTTGGTTGAAAAAATAACATCATACATGAAGAAAGCAAAAGGTGATTAAAAAGATAGGAAAGACCAAAATGGATGTCAAAAGAGATATATGCTAAAGTAATTGGAATCTAAAGCAACTGGAAGAAACGAGCAAGTAAAAGAACTGAACAGAAAATTCCAAAGGGCATCCCAATAAGACAAAGTCAAGTGTTATAATGAAATGTGCAAAGACTTTGTTGTTGTTGTTAAGTGCCGTCGAGTCGGTTCCGACCCATAGCGACCCTGTACAGGGTTTCCGAGGGTGTAAATCCTTACCGGAGTAGAAAGCCTCATCTTTCTCCCACGGAACGGCTGGTAGTTTCGAACCGCTGACCTTAAGGTTCGCAGCCCGATTCATAACCACTATGCTACCAGAGCTCCTTGTGCAAAGACTCAAGAGTTAGAAAATCAAAAGGGAAGAACACACTCAACATTTCTCCATCTGAAAGACCTGAAGAAAATTTCAAGCCTCAACTTGCAACACTGAAAATGTCTATGGGCAAAATACTGAATGTTACAGGAAGCATCAAAAGAAGATGGAAGAATACAGAGTCACTGTACCAAAAAGAACTGGTCAGTGTGTAACCATTTCAAGAGGTAGCATATCATCAAGAACCAACACTATTTAAGTCTATGCTGCACTGAAGACACTAGTGGAAAATGAGATTCCAGAAATTGATATAATAGAAACTGCTGCAGCACCAGAGGAACTCACTTGTCCATGCCAAGACATTTGGAGATAGCTACCTGACCAACTGATAGGAAGACATTCATATGTGAGCTCATTCCAAAGACAGGTAACCCAATGGAAAGTAGGAATCATCTAATAATATCATTAATGTCACATACAAGTAAATATTGCTGGAGGTAATTCAAAACTGGTTTACATTGATAGAGAGTTGCCATAGATTCAAGCCAAGTTCACAAGATGACAAGGAACAAGGGATAGGTATCATTGCTGACATAAGATGGATCTTGGCTAAAAGAAGAGAACACACCATAAAGATGTTTATTTGTGCTTTATTGACTATGTAAAGGCATTTCATTGTGTGGATCATAACATACTATGGATAACATTGTGAAGATTGGGTATTACAAAATACTTAATTGTGCTCATCAAGAACCTGTTCATTAATCAAGAAGTAGTAGTTCGAACAGAACAAGGAGACACTTAATGGCTTAAAATAAGGAAAAAAGTGTGTATCAGAGTTACATCCTTTCACCATACTTATACTATCTTGTATATGCTAAACAAAAAATCTTAGAAGCTGGATTATATGAAGAATGTGAAATCGGGATTAGAGGACGACTTGTTAACAACCTGGTGAACAGACTGCAAAAGATCTGTATCTGTGCCCATTCCAAAGAAAGATGATCAAAGAGAATTCACAAATTAGCAAGCAATATCAGTAATAATACACAGAAGTAAAAGTTTTGCTGATGATAATTCAAAAACAGCTTGCAGTAATACATAGTGTAGTGCCAACAGTTCAAGACAGATTCAGAAAAGACATCAAATGAGGGCTATCAATGCTGACATCAAATGATCTTGACTGAAAGCAGAGAATACCTGAAAGATGTTTACCAGTATGCTATTGACTATACAAAGACAATGGACTGGGTAAATCATGACAAAATATGGATAACATTAAGAAGAATGGAATCCAAGAACACACATATATGCTCATGAAGAACCTGAACATAGACCACAAGGCAGTTGTTCAAACAAAGCAAGAGGATATTGTGTGATTTAAAATTATAAAAGGGGTGCAAGATATCGGGACTGTATTCTTTTCACCCTATATATTCAATGTGGATGGTGAGCAAATAGATCGAGAAGCTGGACTACATGAAGAAGAACATAGAATCAGGATTGGAAGATGATTCATTAACAATCTTCACAATATGCAGATGATACAACGCTTCATTCTGAAATTTAAGAGGACTTGAAGCAATTACTGATGATGATTAAAAACTTCAGGCTTCAGTATAGATTACATCTCAACAGAAAGAAAACAAATATCCTAACAATGAGACCAATACGCAACATCATGATCAGCAAAAGCTGACATTAACAAGGATCTCATTTTACTTGCATCCACAATCAAGACACCCTAGAAGTATCAGTCAGAAAAGCAAAAAACATTGCAGTGGACAAATCTGCTGCAAAAGACCTTTCTTTAGTATTCAAAGGCAAAGATGTCACTTTGAAGTCTAAGGTGGACTTGGTACAAGCTAAGGAAATTTCAATCACATCCCATCATGCAAAAGCTAGGATTAAGGAAGACTGAAAGAGTAAGGAAGACAGAAGATGAATTGATGTTTTTGAATTATGGCATGTGCAAAGAATACTGACTGTGGATAGACAGAAGAATGACAAATGTTTCCTTAGAAGAAGTATACCAAGAATATTCCTTAGGAGCAAGGATGGTGAGACTATATCTCAGATCTTTGGACATATTGCCAGCAGGGACCAGTTCCTGGCGAAGGACATCCTGCTTGGTAAGTAGAGGGTCAGTAAAAAAGAATACCCTCGTTGAGATGGACTGGACACAGTAGCTGCAACAGTGGTCTCAAGCATGAAAACAATTTTGAGGATGACACAGGACTGGGCAGTGTTTCATTGGGGTTGCTCTGAGTTAGAACAGACTCATTGACACGTAACAACAACACCATTTGAGACATTATTTTAAGATGCTCAATATTTTAATAATTTATTTTGAAATAGGAAAGATAAAAAATGTATTTTAATAATAGACTATAATACTTACTTTCAAAATTAGGCCAATTTACTCTGTTATTAATATAGTAAACCATTGCATTCAATTAAGGCTCTATAGATTTTATATTTTGCTAAAATTACAAAGAAGTAACACTAATCTGAAACATCAAAAATAATTTGCAAATATTTCTACATACGTTCTTTTGACATCTTGTTCAATCATCGATCGGAGTTCTTTATCTTGGAAGAATTTGTTCCAAAGACTCTGAAATAAGGAGAACAAATGGTTGAAAACCCATATTTTGCTTAACTTTTATTTTTCCAATTTAAAAATTTAAATCTTAAATTTAGCTTTCTCTGAGTTATTATTTTCTACCACAGATTGGGAACTCAAGATAGGGGACATTTTATTAAAATCTAGCTTACCTTAGGAAATATATCTTTATTCTTAAAGCAATCCCTCCAGACATTATTATATGTGGGGGCTTCAAAAAGTTTATGGAAAACCTCCACTATCTTATTGGGGGGAGGCCCATATTTTATTTATTTATTTTTAAATGTTTTATTGTGAATGATGTGATGGTCTACATGGAAGAACATTAGCTTTATATTCATCCTGTTATGTATCCTTTCAATGCCATGGTTACAATCCCCTCCAGGCATCATCAACCAACCAAAGAGCACATCCTGTAAGCCTGCCCAACCCTCCTCCAAGTCATCAGTACACAGCCCCTCTCCCTCTCTGGGTCTAGAGTCCCCAGCCCCTCCTTCTCTCCACGTCATCGTCTCTGCCTCCATCTCTGGCATCACTGTTTCTCTGGATAGTCCACTATTTTTTAATTTTGTTTTTGCATGAACATTTTGAGAGCCTCTTGCATATCTTTTCTTAATTTCTGTATATAATCTATATAAACTGAACAATGCTTTCAGGGCTGTAACATCCACAGTTGTCTCCACCACCACGAAAAGGTCTGTGAGGAAGACAGCAGGGACCAGAGGGCAAGTGGTCCGAGCACAAACCTGCCCTGAAGTCCTAACACACTAAGAAAGAGATGGAAAATTTCCTGCAAAGCTTGGCTTTAGAATCCAGTATGTATCTTTGTTATTGTTAAATGCTTTCAAGCTGTGTCCAACTCTATCGACCCTGTATAGGGTTTCTGAGGAGAAGTGGCTGGTGGGTGTGAATCACAGACCTTGTGGTTAGTAGGTGATTAACATGTGGTTAACATGTGAATTTAAGTAAACTTTAAAAAATTACTTAACAGTATTTAATGCTCAAACACCATGGACTACGTTATATGAATTACATGTGTCAGAAAAAGAAATGTTAGTATTTTGTATTGAACAGTGAAAAAAAAATTCTGTACTCAAAGAAACACACTGGAGTTAGACCCATGACAACTGGTGAAGGTATACAATATCTTTCAGGTAGTAAGCACCTCTAGTCGTCACTAAAATAAAAGCAGAAATAGGCCTAATTTTTTTAAAAACTTTTTCAGAGACTAACTACAAATCATTACTTTTTTCTTCCCAAGAGTTAGTTCAGCCAAAGGAACCCTGATCTTTTTTATCATGAATGGTCCCTTACTGTTTCTTCCATCCTTCATAAGGCAGTTCTATCTTCACCCTAATGCCCTTCTAGTTTATCCTAGATCTTACAGAGCTCTGAGACTTTCCCTCTGTAGCACCATGTAGTAGTTTCATGGTGATATATATAACCATTCTCATGAGTTCATTCTTGTAGGCAAAAGAGATGAGGAAAAATGAAATGAAGTCAAACTTTACCCCTTCGTCCTGTGAAAGGGGATTATTGATCATCAAATCCTGCTGGCCAACAACCTTCCTCGGGTTTGTAATATGCTGATAGAGAAAAAAACAAAACAAAACACATATACACAAATATAAGATGGTACAAATCTATGAAATGTGCTTTAGAAAAGAATTATATTAATAAAATATAACTTACTATTTCTTTAATGTTGGTATACCATGCTCTTAATTCTTTAATTCTACTTATCCACAAACTTTTATCTTGAGGAATAACACAGAGAAAAAGCTGTCAGGAAAAAAAAAAGAACACTTTTGTAAAAATCATAAGAAGTATAACGTGCATGTATCAAACAGAATTCCTGAAAATTCAAAGATATTCATATCATCACTGCCAACTCCCAATATGAAAGAATATATCATGGGACAATTCAAAAAGTTAATGGCCAAAGGCAAGAAAAGATATCCAAAATTACACCACAAACTGAAATCAATCTTCCCACCTGATTTATATTAAGAAACAAAAACAAAAACACATTGAGGTTCAAACAAAATTCCCATTTACATTCTAATCTTAATGGGAGTGCTTGAGGGATATTAACAGACACAAGATCCAATTAGTGATCTCTGGTTACAGTTTTTGTCTTAAAATACCAAGTAAAGGATAGAGAAGAACGGTTTGAGGACACACTCTAAGAAGTGAACTTGTTTCTGTTACAACAGAAACTGTAATTTACAACTGGCAATCAGCTTATGAAAAGACTTAGCATTCTTAAAAAGACAAATTTGATTTACTTTAGTCTAATGCAGCATTAAAATCAATCTGGATTGGGGTTTATTTTCAGCAAAGGAAGAATACTAAAAGTTAAACATTGGTGAAGAGGGGTGGGGCACAAATATTTGTACACAAATATTCTAGCAGCAGGTCTCCTGCCTTTACTGCCAGTAATGAACAGAAGAAAAATGTATTTTAATTATTAAATTTAAATTATTCAATCTAAAAGCATCTAATACATCTCGTGTTTCTTAGTGCCTGTATTTCCATGCACTCAGTCTGCTCAGTTGATGCAGAAAACTTTACACACTTGTGACAGAAGTGATTTTAAAAATGAATCTAAACCCAAATTAATTAGAGAGGAATAATAAGGGACAATTCAGGGCAGTTAAAAAGATAACTGCTAATTATTATAACTAGTTTGGTAACCAATTGTCTTTTCCTCTGAAGGAGAGGGACTCAATTTCCTTCTACTTCTTGCTGCCCTTCACTCTGCGCTTCTAGTTGATGGTTTTTTTTTGTTTTGTTTTCTTTCATTCTTTCTTTTTTTCCCTTCATCTGCTACTAATGAAGAAACAAGGAGGAGAAATAAATAAAGCACTTGATACAATAAAACCTGAAAGGTAATCCTGTCCCCTTCACCTGCCCAGTTTCGAGGGTTTCTGTAAAACTCTCTGGGGAATGAATGGAAAGGTGTTGCTCTGAAGTCAGCACCACGAAATGAGATGCACAGACAATTATTTCAAATGACTCCTTTACCATTAGCAGTTACTCAGGACCAGGGTACTTCAACCTTATTAGTAAATGTACTATGAAACACAAAGTGGACGGCCAAAAGTTTAGGAGTAAAGTCTCTTAGAAAAGTCAGTGCTTCCTGCATGGGTAATCTTCCAGCGGATCAGGTACTGTGTTGATAGATTGCAACCACAAACTGTAAATAAATATTTTCTTCTTACCTTCCAGCAAATACTGCGGAACCTGCTGCTTCTCAGCTGCCCATTAATCCCCTTCAGCCTTATTGTTGCCAAGTAATTGTTGTTTACAAATAGTTCTTCCCATTCTTTCCTGTGTGCAAGAAAAAAAGCATGGGGGATTCTTTTGTTAAAATTCTTCGGCTTGCAGAGGAATGTTACAGGAAATCTATTTTAAAGAAATCTAAGGAATGCAACTTTTAAAACGTATAGATTTAGTTGTGTGCTGCTTCTGAACGCATGGCTGTCTTTTTGGACACAGTTTTTCTGAAGATTTAATGAATATGTAGATCGCTATAATTATGCCAGCTACTGAAATTCCTAATGTCTATGGAGGCTATTCCATTTCCTCTAAAATGTCGATAGTATAATTCAGTGAATAAACAAGGAAAAAATGAATATTAATATAAGCATGTAACTGCTTTAGCCATTGACAAAGATATACCTGCTCCAGAAATATACAACAAAAAAGTGTACTGTTGATTATATTTGTTTCGGTCATGAAATGTCTGTTTAAATGAACCCGTTGCTCTTAAATGTCAGGAGAAGCAGTTAAGCATAATAGAGATATACTTTTTTTAACTTTTAGTGCTATTTACTATTGAAATCTCTGCAACTTCTTTCTACATGATCAGTTTTAAATTTTTAACAGGTGTGGGCAAATTTTAGAAAAAATCAAAAAATTAAAAAGCCTCACTGTATAAACTGTTAAAGGCAAGCTTGAGTACCTTACAGTACCTATGGCTGACTAGATAAACAACTGAAATATGCCTCCCAGGCACGCAGACACCAGGGGCCTAACACCTGTGCCTCATTAATATACAAGTAAATCTGCTCTACTGGGAAACAATTGGAAATTAATTGTCCCAAACCATTTACTGAGTTTGAATAAAGGAATTAGACCTATATTTCCTGCATCTTGCACCAAACTAAACATCAAGAATAATCTGTCAACCGCTGAGGTTAGTAATTTTAACTCTATAAAAATTTTTCTCAAATTCCAACATGCTACAATAAACTAAACTTATAATTTAATATCCATTACCAAAGCTGAAACCCTAACAATCTTTTAAGAAAGCCTCTAAGGGTAGCCACATATTAGTGATGGGGAAGGCAATATACAAAAAGTGGGAGGTTGGCAGAAGACGGATGAAGAGAGGTGAAGACGCAGGGAAGTATGGAACGGTAAAAGAGGATGGTGGGAAATAGTGCTAAACAGACAATCCAACCCTGGAATAACAGTGCTCTGAGGGTAGATACATGGACAGATACACAGGCTGAATGGGTATGGGAGGGAGAATGGGAGTATGCCCACAAATATATAACGGTCTGAAAGAGGATATTTGTACATGGATAGTCAACATTGCTGCAAACATACCTATGTATGTGCAGAAGCATACAGTCGGGAAAATGATAAAAACTTACTATTTATTAGATATTATCAAATATCTTAAGGTGATGAATTCCTGGGCCTGGTGATTCAGGATGATAGTCACAGGAGATACCATGGTCAATTGGTAAAACATAGTCCACAAAGACCAATGTTCTACATTCTGCTCTGGTGAGTAGTGTCTGGGATCTTACAATCTCATGAGTGTCCATCTGAAGGACACCTACTGGTCTCTCCGTGTGCAGAAGAAAGAAGAGTGAAGAAAACTGAAGATGCTTGGGATCAACTAGCCCAAGGTGAACATCAGTCACCATGACTCTGAGACCAGAAGAACTAGATCGTACACAGCTACCACTACCAGCTGCTCTGAAAGGGTCCCAGATAAAGAGGGAGAAAATGTGGAACAAAATTCAAAATTATAAAAAACATATTGGGTTTACTGGTCAATAAGAGTCTGGAGGAACCCAAGACGATGGCTCTCCACCACCCTTCAGGTCTGGAAGAGAACTCACCCTTGTGGCCCAATTTTCAGTCCAACAGTAGATAGATATATATTGCTATTGTTGTTAAGTGTCATCAATTCGGTTCTGAGTCAGTGACTCTGTATAGGGTTTCCAAAGAGCAGCTGGTGGGTTTGAACTGCCAACTTTGCCGATCTTGTAGTTTGCAGTATAGATATGGGGGACAAAAACACTAGTAGGATATGCTCCTCTTGGAATGGTCAATCATTCTAAATCAAAAGGGCAATATTTATCTAAGGACAAAGTTGCAAAGGGATGGGAAACTGGGTGGAATGGAAATAGGACCCACAGGGAGGAAGTGGGATAATGTTTTATGGAGGGATTGTAATCATTGAGATGAAACAAAGTGTATTATTTGTTGAATGTAAAAATGACGATCTCCATTGTAAACCATCATGCAATTCACAATAATAAGTTAAAAATCAATCAATAAATAAAGCCTTTAAAACTCTCTACCATCTTTCTATACACATGTGGTTGTCATCGACTAATCCTACACATTCTGTGAAAAGATAATCAATGTATCCAACTGCACACCTAAAGTGCAAAAGCTGGACCATGAAGGAAGCTGTGTCATCTCTATGGGACCCCAAAAGAGTGGCCAAAGGCAATGACACACTTTCTCTGCTGCCACAAGCAAGAGAGCTTTCAGTTTCCATCCTGCACAACTCACCCCTAATTGTGTAAAGCCTTCTGTCAGCAGGAGCTTGTGGCTAAGTAGGTACAAGTGGGATGTGTGTTTCAACTCCACACAGGAAGAAGTACATTCCCACCATTGTTCCAAAAGAATGTTTTCTTCTCATCACTTATTCATAAGAGAAAACATTTTAATTTTAATTTGCATTTTTATTATTAGTGAAACTGAACAACTGTCATGTTTTTTGGGCATTTTTAATTCTTCTTTTCTTAAACTTGCGGTCTTGTCTTGTGCTTACTTCAGGTATTTGGGGTACTGGTTAGAGCATGGACATAACAAGACACATTCCTGAGTTCAAATCTAACCTCTGTGTGCCTCAGTTTACTAATCTGTAAAATGAAGGAATAATAGTATCAATCTCAAAGAATTATTATGATGAATGACAAGAGTTAAAACATGAAAGCCACTAGAAGGGTACCCAGTTTTTCATAACATTATTAAAATTAGTACTATTTTAATAATAATTATAATACATTTTTAGTGCGCCTTCTTTTTGATCCAAAAGAAAAAGTCTACTTACAATAAAAACATAACATGCATGTCTGCCAAGCATGTGCATTTGCATCGCACACCCCCACACAATTGTCTTGACTTTCTACTGCTATAGGATAAGCACTAGACTGCTAAAAGAAAGCTCAGTGCTTCACACCCACCACCTGTCCCCCCAGAAACATTACACAGGTTCTCTATGAGTCGGAACCAACTCAACAGCACTTAACAACAACAACAACACAGTTCAATCTGTGTATAGTTTAAATCTAACATTATTGTATCTTTGTTTCTTTCCATTATTTTCATATTTAAACAGTTCTTCGCCACTCAAAGATCAAATACTCATTGAACTTTTGTTATTTTTTACCACTTTAATCCATTTGTACTACCTAGAATACTTTAAACGTATTTTTTACTTCCAAGTAATGTCACACATATTCCTAACGCTTCATATTATTCAGTTTTTCCCTTTATCCAATTTTCTAGTTTTTAGCAATATTCAAAATGACTAAAAATTCATTGTTGCTGTTGTTAAGTGCCTTGGAGTCCGTTCTGACTCATAGCAGCCCTTTTTAGGCTGTCAGAGCAGAAAGCCTCATCTTTCTCTCTTGGAGCAGCTGGTGGGCTAAAACTGACAACCTTGTGGTTCAAAGTCAGAGCCATCATGTACCCATAAGTACATCAGAGGAGTATATAAGTACTCAGAAATCATAAGTAGGTTTAAAGAACTTGTGGTCTTTGAAGAAAATGCACAGATTGGAAATGCATTTTAAGTCCAAAAGGTATCATAATTTTTGAGAGGCAATACAATTCCTTGGGTCTGAAAACACCAGACACATTCCAGATAGGAGAGGGACTCCTCCAGTCTTTTCTCAAAGCAGCTCATATTAACAGGTACCAAAACGCTGTGAAAGTAAGGGCACAGCTGGTGACTAAATGCACTACCATCTTGTGAAGTGAAGCAGCAGCCACTTAAGGTCAAGTTACATACTACTTATGTAATGAAGGGTAATTATTTGTTAGCTTAAATATGACCCTGTGCCTTGATAACAGTTTTGGTACAGAGATAAAGAGACTGAGGCATGTGAAACAGAAACATTATCTCTGAAAATCACAATCATTTAAATTTATTCATGGGTACTTATAGCTCCAAAGAAGGCAGTAACATCTCAAACTGATTAAGAGTTCTAACATTAAGGCCAGGAGATAGTCTAGTAATTGTCTTTCTCTTGTATGAAACAGTGCTTCATAATAAACAGTGATACAGAGTAAACATAATAAACATTTATTAAGTCTACATCACTAGACCGCAAGGTCAGTGTGAACCACAAGGTTGGATGTTCAAACTTACCAGTCGCTCCTCAGAAACCCTATACAGAGTCACTATACATCGGAACTAACTCAAAGGTACTTATCAAAACCAATGGTATTCTATTTACCCAATAAATAAGCATTGGACTGTTAACTTCAAGGTTGGCGGTTCAAACTCACCAGTTATTCCTCAGAAACCCTAGACAGAGTCCTTATGATTAGTAACCAACTCGAGGGAACTTAACAACAACAACAATGTGCTTAGTAGAGTACCTGAGTGGTGCGAACGGTTAACTGCTGATTCAAACGCACGCAGAGATGCTCACAGAAAGGCCTGGTGATCTGCCTCCTACGGAGGGCATTCTATTCTGAAGCACCAGGGTTATCACCAGTCAGTACTGACTCAATGGCAACTGTTTTCTTTCCTTTGTTTTGTGCTTAGCATTTATAGAGATATATTTTTGAAAGCATGAAATAAGGAAGTAGATAGATGGATGTGTAAACCAACAATATCAAGATTACTGTAAAGTGCTCTGGTAGGTCAGAGGATGGAGTGATACCATTCTACCTGAACATTAAAACCCAGCAGAAATAACAACAAACCCCAGAAGGAAATATGTTTAAAAGTTTATGCATTCTAGGGGAGCTGGACAAAATGAAAGGTTTACACGATCATAAATCTG